CATTATTGCTTCGCCTAAAGGAGGATGTTGATGGGTAACCAATATTTGATGTAGAGATTAACTTCTAAGACTTTTTTTTAAACTAATCTATTATTCATTCATTCTTATCACAGAGCAGATTAGCATGAACTACTGGAGCGAAGATTGTTATGAAAGCAGCCATTGAATAAGATGGTCTTTCAAATGTGCTTCACCTTCATTAGCTTGTTCATGATAAATATGCAGCATGACTAGATTTTCTTGTGAAAAAAAATCAATTTTACTGGCAACAAAAAGAAAAATGACTTTGAAATGGATATTTTATGCATATTATAATACTTAATGTTATCACATGCCTTATGTAAAGCTTAATACACTTTAAATTTAGATTCCTGACAGCCCTCCCAATGATTGTATTACCGTGTTTGTTCTGTACATGGAACAATGTGCAAACGTGATACAAAAATAGATTTGTGTTGTGTAGTGTTCTGATTATATAATAATAATCATTACAATTGATATAGCACTTTTCATGTTAGGAGAACGTCTCAAAGCACTTCATAGGATTCATTGTGAAGGGCAGTATTTGTAGGTGAACCCAGCAGCTGATTTGCATGCAACAATGTCCTACAAACAGATAAAAATTGAATAACTAGTTTTTTTCTGGACGCAAGGAAAATAGAGAAACACTGTTTTATTTTTGAAGAGTGCCATTGGATCTTTAACTTCCACACAAACAAACAGACAGGATGTGGTTTCAAAATTAATTCTAAGGGCAGCACCTGACAATACAGTGCTCTCCCAGCATTGTATTAGTGTTATCCTAGACTGGGTTAGTTCAAACACCTAATATGGAATTTGAACCCAGTCCCTTCCAACTCTTTTGTGAACTGTAGTATACCATGTCCAAACTATTCAGAAAAGCTGTAGTAGCACATTGGTTTAGGAGAGGTATCAGAAAACAGCTCTCTTCTCCTGAACACTCCATTGAATCATAGATAATTATCTGCTTTATATGATCCAAATCATTTAATAATTGGAGAATTAATTGGAGTCCTAACAGGCTCAGAGGAGGTAAAAGATCAACCTCTCAAATTAGATATTTTAAAAGACAAATCAAATAATACATACAACACAATGGCACTATCAATGCCAAAAAGCAAAGCTACACAAACTATTATTAAAATCGACAAAACCAATGTTTATTTCAGAGTAAAAGTGAAGCAAAAATGGATTAATGATGTGGAAAGTTACAGGCCTTTTATCCCCTTCTTTGACTGATTAGCTTGAATCTGCTTTCTTCCACATATATTTTGACCTTGACTTGGATATTGGCAGTATCAAAACTTGATATCGCCTATATCTATGTATAAAAAATTGTGGATTATAGCAAGTTAGGAAATATAGTGAATAGTGATGGAGGAGGGCAAGAGAGACTGAAAAAGGATTTAAACAGATTAGTGCAATGGACTGATCAGTGGCAAATGAAGCTCAATGAAAGGAAATGTGAGGTGATTCATTTTGGTAGAAAAAACGAGGAGAGTATATAATTGCAGTGTCTTGCAAAAAGCTGAAGAGCAAATGGATTTGGAAAATGCAGGTACATAAGTCATTGAAAGTGTCATCACACGTGACAAAGGATGTAAAGAAAACTGATATCATGCTCGGTCAAAGAGTATGAAAGTAAACATTAATGCTGTGTGTATAAATCATTGGTTAGTCCGCAATTGAAGTATTAATAATAATCATAATCCTTGCATTTGATATAGCATCTTATCACGTCTTTGAGACATCTCAAAGCTCTTCACAGAATATACTGTAAAGTGAATTAACTATAATATTTTGTGGGCAAAAAGTGGCAGCTAATTGTGCACAGCAGTGTCCCACAAATAGTCGTGGATTGAGTGACAAACTCTTTTTATTTTTGTTGAAGGAATTATTACCCCTGGAAAAGCGATCCGCCAATCGATTAACAACTAGGTTCCAACTTACTGCTAGATAAATGGAGACGTATGGAGTAAGGAAACTTGCCCAACGTTTTGTCCTGCTGGAAATCAAACCCAGGTCCTCTTACTTGCGAGGCGGGTTCTCTAACCATTAAGCTACAAGTGCCTAGTTCTAACCCCTCATTTCAAAAGATGTTAAGGCTTCAGACAGGATTCAGAGGAGATTTACTAGAATGATTCTAAGGGTGAATGGCTACCGTTGTGGAGAGATTGGAGAGGCTGGGTCTGTCTTCATTGGAGCAGAGAAAGTTGAGGGAGACCTGATTGAGGTATACAAGACTATGAGATGTTTTGTTATGGTAAATAGGGAGAAGTTATTTCCATTGATAGGGAAGTCATTGACTAGGGGACACAGTGGCTATCAATGGATAGTCACAAGAATAGCAAAAGGAAAGGCATATGAAAGAGAGGGACTTGAAGGGTTATTGGGATTTTCACACGCAAAAATATATAGTCAATTCACTTTACAGTACATTTTGTGAAGTGCTTTGAGACATCTCGAAGACACGCTAAGGCCCTATATGAAATGCAAGAATTATTTTTATTATTTATTATGGAAATCTCTACCCCAAAGGGCTGTAGATGCTCAGTCCTTGAACATATTCAAGACTGAGATTGATAGATTTCTTGTGGATAAAGGGATTAAGGGATATGGGGATAAGGTGGGTAGGTGGAGTAAGAATAGATCAGCCATGATCTTATTGAACGGCGGGGCAGGCTCGAGGGGACGAATGGCCTACTCCTGTTCTTAATTCTTATGTTCTTATGTTTTTATTATAAGGAGGAGCAATGGGATTGAAGAGATATCCTTGTTCTTTGAGCCGGTGCAGACTTGGGTGTGCCAAATGCTATCCTTCTGCACTATTTACTTTTATGTATCTATGCTACAGTAACAACAACAATAGGTGTTAGATTTGCATTTTGTCACTGGGGTTAATTTAACAGTACTTTTGATACGTAGCTCACTAACTGCACCCAGATGTCCCCACCACAGACCAAGTACACCCATGGGCTGTCTCTACCCCTTCCAAGACCCAATGTGATTTTCAGTAGTGACTCAGCAAAGCCAGGTCAAATTCATTGCACCACCGGCCTGTGATAGGATCCCTAACTGTTAGTAGGGTACTGACCTTTTAAAGTTTAGATTCACCGAAATCCTGGTGTTATCACTGGACAGCAATTGAAGGCTATGTTTCACAAGTTCAGTGCTGTGTGCATAGTTCAAGGATTTTATAATTAAGAATTGCCGGGGCAGGGAATTGGTATATTCAGATCCAACTGATGTCTTATATATTAACTGGAATGTAAATTGACACCAATGGGTCTTTATTACTGCATTTGACATCATGTCCGCATTTGACAGTGTAAGAAAGTGATAGAGACCAAGAACGGCTTTCATGCTCTGATGCTACATTTAAACAAGTAATGCTCCCAAACCACTTGCAAACAATGAAGTTGCAAATTAATTCTATCTGGTAAACTATACAAGTTATTTAAACTTTGCATTGCTGTCTCACATTTACGGAATGGTTAACTAGCATTCAACTAGAAAATTTGCTGGCAAACAAAATTAAAATCAATACTGCAAAACAGAATTCTTTGATTCCAACTCAGATTTAGTGAGGTCAGGTCCATTGTGAATGTTTTGGTATTTCTTATAAGGTTACATTTCTCTCTTTTGAAGGCAACAATTCTTTGCTGGCTCTACGACTGCGGGTACTATGTGTCCACTGGTGGCATTCTGAGCAGGTATTCCTCCGTTCAAGCATTGACAATGAATTCTGGCAAGTAATTTGTCTTCTGGCAAATGGAGAGGGTGTTGTAGTTTGCATCAGTTGAGCCTGATCCTATCTTCACCTCAATGTAGAGTTTCATCTTAAAATGTAAGACTGTGCAAATTTGTAAATTCAGTCTTAATTTCGAACCTGGTTTCAGATTTTGCAAAATTCAGCATAATCTTGAATTTTAAGACGTCACTCTAAGGGATAACATGGTAAAACTTTGAGCTTCAGATGACCGCCAAGTACAATTTCCAGTATGAGAAAGCAAAATTGCCTCCTTGCAGCCCAGGGAGCACTGAAGCATCCTGTGGCTTCCAATCTGTAAATTTCAATCGTATGATCTGGTACTAAAACAGATATTAAAATAATAATACTCACATTTGAATAACACTTTGTCACATCGTCAAACTTTCTCAAAGTACTTCACAGGATTTTTTGCAGAGTGTAGTGATTGCGTATTTTTTGTAAGCAAGAGCAACAGCCAAATTGCATGTAACAATGTCCCCCAATAGCCTTGAAGTGACTAACAAATTTTATCTGGGGGATTGATTGTTGGTCAGGTCTCCTGGAGAAACTATCTTTGTTTTTAAAATAGTATCATGAGATCTTTAATGTGCACCTGACCAGGCTGAAGGGACCTGGGTTGTTTCATTCAATGGCTGGCACCTTTGACAACAGAGTGCTCCCCAAGTAATGCACTGGAGTGTCAGCCTGGGCTCTGAGCTCAAAGTCCCAATGTGAAGATTGACCTTTACGCACTGCCTTTACTCACCACCCTGCACAACATTCACATATATTTAATGGTATTTAAGTACATCATGTATGTTACACCAAATATTACTCTTAAAATAGATTGGGTCGGAGGAAGTTCCCACAAAACAGGCTTCTGGCTCCTTGTTGGTGCATACTGCAAGTAGATCACTTTGTTTCCCCTTCTATGCATGTGTTTTCAGGTCCAGGCTTGAGTATTTACTTTTAGATAAGAATTTAAATAGATGACGTATGGAACAGTTTTGGAAATGTGTTCTTAAAAGCTATAAGTATTTAGCTTTTTTCCAAAATTTGTTTCCTTGTTTCGATAAAATGAACATTGTGAGATAAATCTCCCAACGGACAAAGGTAGTTTCTTGAAAACATGGCTTCACCTATTGCGGCAATATATTTATCCACCAGAGATTTCAACTATCGTATAAATTGTTAACAAAATACAGAATATGGTGTGAATTAACTATACCTTTACAGACTGGTCTGTGGTCACTCCAGGCTGCAAACACGTCAGCAATCCTTTGGCAGGTAATATTTTTGGATCCCTGTAGCACAAAATCTTCATCACATGTGAACTGAATTGTAGCTCCAAGACTATTGAGAGAAATTAGGAAGGTAAATGTTACTTTGCTTCTTTCAGTACACTAGGAAAATGCATAATTTAATGAAACAAAAACAGTAAACAGCTGGTGAAGTGTTCATAATCAAAATGTGAGTGTGGGGGAATGCAACATGGCAGATGTGAGATCTCGACAACATGATAAATTGCAAGAATTATTACATAATTGTAAATATCCCTCCAGCTCCTGGAGAACAGCTTCTCCTTTCACCCGATTTAGAGTTGTCCTTCAGATTGGACATTAAATTGAGATCCCGTCTGCATATGGGAACTTGCCCACAGTAACGATCCCATGGCACAATTCAAAAATAGAAGGAAGTTTCTCCTGGTATCCTGGCCAACAATTGCCCAAATAAATGTAGTCATTCACTTCATTGCTGTTGGTACAACATTCTTTTGCGCAAATTGACTATTGCGTTCGCCTACAAAATACACATTCACTACATTTTATAACATACTCTGTGAAACTCTTTTGAGATATGTCCTCCCTACGTGAAAGGCACTTTATCAGATGTAAAAATCATTATTTTATTACTAACATCATTTATGCTCCTCAACAATATCTTGTTAATTGCTGTTATGTGAACTAAAAACACAAATACTGTAGCAAGCAGCTTTGGACTCGACCATTATAACTGAAATGGGGGCGGGGGCGATGGGTAGCAGACTCACAGTCACAGACATCCTGTTGTCAAGTGCCTCAAAGGATACATTTTTCAACTTTGCGATAACTATCATTTGTGATAATTTACATCAGAAATTGCAATTTTCACTCCATTATGTTTATGACAGTTGTGTGACTTTGACGTGCAAATAATAATTTCTTGTCAAATTCTGATGTTATTTTGCAAATTCATAATTGTGATCACACTCAGGGCAAGTTAGTCACTAGAACCCTGGCTGAAAAAGGATGCACAACATTTTAAATAGTAAATATTGCAGGTTTAAAATGTAATACATGAGACAAGAAAATTATTCTGATTTTCAGTGCAATGCAATTTATGCAACATCCTTCACATATCGGGAGGATATGTTAAAGCTCTTCAAAGTGCTTTCATCGTTATTAATTAATTCACTGATACTAAGTTAATAACTTAGTATTAACTATTAAAATGCAGTATTTTATTGATAAGAAAGCTTCAAGATTTTTAAATATTTGGGATAGGAAATTGACCAGACTTTTGGTCATCTTTCCCTACCCACAGCTCAGGTGCTCAGTCAGTAGTGTTAAATATTTTGGAAAGGTACACCAGACATGAAAGGTACTCTATAGATGTACATTTTATTGTAAATGCTTACCCTTGGTGTTGGCATGAAAGCTGTTTGAGCTGCTTATCAGTTATAAAACAAAAAAATAATTTTCTTCACATTTAATATAGCACCTTTCATGTCGAGAGAATGTATCAAAGCAGTTCACATGATTTACTGTAATGTGTGTGTACTTGTAGATGATCATAGCAGCCAATTTGTGCACAGAAATGAGCCACAAAAGCCAAATAAGTGAATGACCAATTTTATCTGGTGTATAGTCGTCCAGGAAACCACAAGAAACTGCCTTCTCTTTTTGAATTGTGTCATAGGATGTTTAACATTCTCCTGAACAGACAGACCATGGTTTGACATCTCATCTGAAGCATGGCCTCTCAATTAGAAATGCCATGGAATGTCAACTTAAACTATGTAAATTTAAAATCCCAACATGGGGCTTGAATCCACAATCATCTAACTCAGAGGAGAGAGTACTTTCAACTGAGCCAAGGCCTACACCAACTTGTACAGTATTCAGATTCAACATGGACATGCACAAAAGTTGCATTATGCATTTTCTTATTTCCACTTTATAATATTTGAATATTCTTATGTGCAGTATCTTTCAAGACTCCATTCAGAAACACAACAGAACCACTGGTGACATTTTATCTAGTTTCTTCAAACACAATACATGAAAACGAGAATTATCAAATGCCTAGTAAATTGAGTGTGTCCCTCCCGTACCCATTCCTATTCCCCCATGGCTGAGACAAACAATGAAACAATATCACCACCAAATTCTCCATAACAGAGATAAATCTTTCAGTAGACATTTGAACTGGAATATACTGTCCTCAGCATAATTGTGTTAAGATTGAATTTAATAAGTTAATTTTGTTCAGATACGCAAAGGCTAATTAATTAGTGACAAAATTAATGTCTCGCCCTTTACCTTTTATTAGTCATAAAGTGTAACTCAGCCATTTTCTTATGTAAACTTCAGAATAGCTTGCAAGAGTCATGGTGCAAAACAGCAACAACTTGCATTTTATATAGGGCCCTTCATGTAGGGTCTTGGGACACTCCACGGGGATAGTGTTGGACACCAAGTGAGAAGGAGAGGGAGGGGTTTGGTGACCATAGGTGTATTCAGACAGATGGACTCTGAGGAGAGACTTAAAGACAGATAGATGGGGCGATGAGACTGGATGGTAAAAAAAGAAAAATGCAGAGTTTAGGGGTGTAGAAAAGGTTGAGATCAGGTTGACTGACCCACATAACATTTGACCAAGGGCTTTAAGCATTGTGTTATCATTACACTGAGAAACCAGCATCTACATTATGAAACCATGTTATAAGGACGCTTTTGTTTTCCAATCTTAATTTTTACTGTTGAATAGATTCTATTTGATAAACTATCTTTGTGCTTAACAAAATCCTATATTGTCTTAATATTAAAGAAACTAACTATCTTCCAAGATGAATGATTTTATTTAAAATGCAGAAAACAATAAGTTACATTTTTTAACTCCACTTTACTAAAGCAATCAAAGCTGTTCTTTCCTCAGAGATATTTAACAGATAGTGAAATTAAACAGCTTTATGTGTACACGCAGCTGGGACACTGCAGAAATTTGACTTTGATTAAGCTTTCTATATGTTAAAAGTATAATCATCCAAAATGAGGTATAAACAATATGTTTGTTCATTTCCTTTGTATATTTAATTTAGCAGCACATGGGGCAAGTATTAGATATTAGTGTGGCTCAGTTGGTAGCACTCTCCCCTTCAAAGGTTATGCATTCAAGTCCCACATTCTGACTTTGATTTTGAACTCACAGCCTGCCATTCCATTATAACACACATTGTCAGAAGTTCTGTCATTCAGATGAGTCATTAAACCAAGGTCCTGTCTGCCTGTCAGGTAGATTTAAGGATCTCTGGCATTATTGGAGAAAAGTAAGAAGTTTCTACCAGTATCCTGGACAACAATCCCCCAGATAAAATGTGTTATTCAATTCATGGCTGTTTGTGGACATCCCTATCCAGATTCTGGCTCAAATCTTTTCACAGAATTTACTGTAAAATATAGTGTTTATATTCAGTAGGTGAACACTAGACAACTTGCTATCTTCCACAAACAGCCATGAAATGAACAATGCATTTTCATCTGAGGGGATTGTCTCTCAGGACACAGAGAGAAATTTCCTTTTCTTTTCAACAACAACTTGCACTTATATAGCGCCCTCCAAGCAGGATAGTGTCTCAGAGCGCTTAACAATGGTGGAGCCTGACTCTGATCCGTGGTGGGTGGAGAGTGGGAGGGTGGGGGGAGGGAGGTGGCCGTAAGCACTGTCGAAGAGGAAGGTTTTCAGGCGGGACTTGGAAAGAGGGAGAGAGGGGCTTCTGTGCCAGAGCCTTCTCTTCTCCAAAATCCCAATGCACAGTCTAGTTTTAGTTGTTATATATATATATAGTTACCAATGATTTAGTTTGCTCATTGCTTTTTAAATAAAAAGATTAAGAAAAAGAGAAGTATAATCACCGAAGGAGACATTTCAATATAGTGCTTGTTTCTACACTCACCTAACTGTTCCAACCTCATATGCCTCCCTCCCCCCATAGACCTTAGCTGATCAATTATTTTATTCCATAGGAAATATAGGAACATAAAGCTCTGGAGGACATTCAGCCCATTGAGCCCACACTGGCTCACAGAGCAAGGAGCTCAATTCAATCTCAATCCCTCCCTTATCCACATATCGTTTAAAGCACACAAGTATTAAAGAAGGGCATGTAGGAATTAACAAGCTGTTAATTGGAGTTTTGATTTTTGAAGTATTATTGTGATTTAAACTGCTGTGGCTAAAGCAACCTACACAAGTGAAACATTTACATACCTGAAATCCAATCCAATTCTTTCTCCATGTTCTGGCTCTCCAGGATCTGGGCAGGAGTTGGATGCTTGCTTTATTCCACCCTCATTCACTGCAAGTAAAAACAGAGACAAACAATGGCATTGCATTTAACGGAAATTCAAATGTCTTGAATACCATTTATTTTACCTTTCAATTCTAAATTATGCATAGTCATGAGTCAATTTGCCAGGTATGTAAGTAAATGCTTAATGTAACCATTATATCTGTCAATACAAAACTGTATCCGGCACTTAACAAAGCATTAACACAAACATAAAAACATTTATAGGCTACAGCTCTGTTCCAATGCAATTTTCAATTGTGCTAATAAACCTTCCAAAATATGTTGATTTCTTCATAATTATCACCTTCAAACTTACTATACTGTGGTGAGTTACAATGTACTGGGACGTGACAGGGCTTTCTAAACTGCTCATTAAAACTTCCCAAAGTTCTCTTCAAAAGTGAGGAACATCAAAGATTGTGATTTACACAGTAAATCAAAATATATGTATGTAAGTTGCTAAATATGTTGTTACTGGTTTGTCCTGAAGAACACAAATAAAAGTTAATGTATTCATCATAATCACCCATGCATTATGTGGGACTTGTCTCGTTCTTCAGTTCCATTGATCCATGCAGTGAATTTATGTCACCTGTTATGGCTGTTTCCTCTCTTCTAACTCTGATTCTCTCAAATTCACCAAACAAATGTGCAATCTCAGCATCTTGTACAACCCTCAGCTCTCCTATATTAGTTCTCTGACCAAGACAGATTTTCTTCATCTCAGCCACATTGCTCTCTTCCGCCCCTATCTCACACCAAATGCCACTGAATCCCTTATTCATGCCTTTGTTACCTCCTGTCTAGGCATATCAAACACACTTCTCACCATCTCCCTAGTTTCACCATCCAGAAGCTCCAATTTATCCAAATCTCCGCTGTCCAAATGCTCACATGTACCAAACACCACGCGGATATTACATCAGTGGTCACCAGTCTCCACTAGCTCCGTTTCCCAACATATTGACTTCAAGGTGCTTACCATCACATATAAGTGTCTTCACACCCTGATCGTCTACCCCATTCCTGCTCACTCCCTCCACTTGGCTAACTTGGGCTAGGAGCATATCCCCCAGCCACTCGATCGAGCCATCAGCCACTATGTTCCTAACATCTTGAACTCTCTCCCTCTACCCCTTCATCTCAATCTGTTTGTATCTGTTTTTAAATCCCATCTTAAAACCTACCACTTCACCTCCACACACACCCTTGCTCGGCGTTCGACCCTGTCATCATGAAATGCTCTTAGACATTATCCTACACAAGGGGTCATTATGAATGCAAGTTGTTATTGAGGTTCATGCAGTCTTTTCTTTACCCCACTCATCCCCTAACTTTTCCCTTTGTTAGACTTACTAGATAGGTATACTGGAGCAGCTCCCTTTCTGGGGCAGAGGACAACAGCTGAGTAATTCGATCCACTAGAGGTCAGTAGACTTCTAATACTTCAAGCTGCTCCCTTACTGTTGCAAGCTCACTTTGAGAGCTCAGGCTGAATGCAAAATTGTCCATTTTGCTAAATAACATGCTGCTAGAGTTACAGTTTCATTCTAAAATCTGGTGGATTGATTGATTGTAAGAGCATTGTTAAGCAACCCTTTTAACTTTCAATACATGTGAGATACATCCAAATATTGAATTGTTGCTGGCGGGTACAATGAAATTGTGATTTCAGTGTTAGACTCCTATGGAGTCATTACCTTGGGCAATCTTGAAGAAAAATGTGTTCAGTCAATTAAAAGAAACGTAGGGAGAAAAACGATGTTAGATTAAATTATGGAGGGAGTGCAGTTTCATATTTCTGGTTCCCCAGAAAAAAAATGGTTGTTCACTTCATGGTTGTTTGTGGAAAATTGTTGTGCACATATAAACTGCCACAAAATGCACAATCACTATGCTTTACAGTAAATCCTGTGAAGTGCTAGGAGATGCATCTAAGCCATGATAAGGTGTTACATCAAATGGAAAGATTATTATATTATTAAAGACTAAAGGAATATTCTGAGAAGTGTTACTTCTGCAAACGATTGTTCACATTGGATTTATGTAAAATGCAGAAACTGGTTAAAGGATTCTTTATTATCCTAATTAGCTAAAGCATTCTAATTAGGGGAGAAATTCAACATGAGTCTGGATTCATTCTATTTATTCATCATTTTAGAGCAGTAGAGGTCAACCTTCTTGGTCGGCCCCAAATATTTTTTCTTTCTTGAATTTTTCTTCATTTATGGCTCGCAGAACACTTTTGGGGCATCAAGAAGTGGCCCATTAAACCCCGCACCAGTCCGCAAGTCCAAATCAATGACTTGCTTAGGGTAGGTACCAAATCAAAATAACCATGGAGTGGAAATTTTGTTCACAGAAATCTTTAGAAAAACACTTTTAAAATTAAGGACTGTACTTAAGAATTTGTTGCATTCTGGAGGCTCTGAAATGCTACATTGAGCATGTCTAGACAACCGTGGAATTTCTCCCCATAAATTCTCTATTATTATTGTGGACTTAGCTCAATTCAATGTAATTTTCAGTAAGAAACAAAAGGTATTTCCGAAAGCTGCACTTGGCAACTGACTGTCCCTGTTGAAAATCGCCAGTTTGTGCATTTAACTGATTCTAGGAGGGTGGCAGTGGAGTGCAAAAATTACACTCAGCATTTTTTTTGTCAAGGAAGAGCGGGTTAATGGACAGAAGGCTACTTAGATGAAGCACTAGAGCGCGGGTTACAACTGTAGAAGCCAGAACCTTCAATAGATGAGAGGAGAATTTACAAGGAATAATGTACAGCCAAAACACGCAGATCAATGTACTTTGTTGTCATAGCTATTGGAAGTTAGTGGAATGAATGAGCCATTAATGAAGCAAACTTTGCCTGGTCTCTCACCCTAATGGCAAATTGACAACCAGAATGACTATGGGCACTGCAAAAAGGGCTTCACCCAGCCACAAAGAGAGGATCTAAATACTTGTTCAAACATCAATGGAATTGCAGCATGCAAACATGCAGCTAAAGCAAAAACAATCATAGTTTGATGATACTAAGATCATAAGAAATATCATTGATTCAGCACACATGATAATATTTATGCTACATCCCTGTATGATATCCTTTTTATGATTGGAGTGTTAACTCTTCTGGATTGATTCATAGTAACACAGCAAAATTTGAACTGAATGCCATTAGGTCTATGGAATGGCCCACCACAGATCATACCGTGGGTAAGTATTTCACACCTTTGCTAATCCCAACTCCGTGTCTCATCTCTTATATTTTTAATAACCAAGTATCTATACATCAACAAAATTGGAAACATAATCACTTCAGCTGATAATAGTATCACTGTCCTTTTTTGTGTATTGATCTAGTGGTTCTTTCTTTCCTGCATTGTTTTGTTTTACTTTATTGTTTAATATTTGCACCATTTGATGACAGATTATCACATCAAATATGTTGTGAAAAGTGACAACATTCACCTTAAAAAGTACCAAGTGTATTGCATTGAACATTATAAGTTCTCTACCTCTAAATCATTGCTGAATATTGGTTGGAAAACATATGCAACACTCCAGCATAATGCTAACCTTATACCATGTCAAGGAATTAATAAGTGAAAAGGAATGCACACTTCAGAATTTCGGGTCTATGTTTACTGCTGTTTGTTCATTTTAAACTAATTGTCCTTTATTACTATGGAAAATGAAACAACATAATCATTTATCTCTCTCGCCTTGCCAGTAAGTTTGCAATCAGTTTTTGCTTGCCAATGATGTTAGTAACAGTCTTGGCAGCACAGGTAGCTATCCTGTTCATTACTTTTTCTCATAATGTCACTTGTTTGGATGTATTAAAGTAGATACAGAGAAAATCACAATAGCTGATGAATTAACGCATACTATTGAAAATTAACATTGCACTCCCACTCCACCCACCTTATAAGATGAACCAAAACATCTATATTTACCCCATGTATAAACTAATAGCTGTGTAACTTTATCATTAGCTTTTCAAGATTGTTCTTGTTAATCTCATTGGCTACTAAGAATTAATTTCAACCAGCAATTTTTTTGTGTCCTGCATTCTCAAAACACACGATAGACAAAGGTTCATTATCTGTCTATTTTTACATTTCTGCTTTCACTCCTAAATCACAAGATCAATGTGATAAAATACAATTTTACATTTATACATTACTTTTCACTTTGGGAGATGACTGCAAGGGCAAAGAGCCCTTGAATCTCAACGTGGCGATCAATATGATTTCTGGTGTTTCTCCAAATGGAATCAACCAAGCCCTAATCCATGGATCACATGGTGAAGACCTTTGGCTCATCTTTAGGTCAGCATTTGCCGGCAGCCGTGTCCAACAAAAGTCACAATCACAGTAAAGACACGGAGCTGCTCACGCTCAATTCTGTGGGAAGCTGCAGAAGTAATTCAGTAACTAGGCCCAAAAGGCATTGGCACAGGTTCTGCAGAATGCACAGCTTGCAGTGGTTGGCAGATAGCTGCAATTTGCAGATGGTGTACCATTTGTGAACACTGAGCCTACAACAACTGCAGAGACAGCACAAGAAGCAACAGAAATCTGTCTCTCTAGTAAAAATAATAATCCTTGCATTTGATAAAGTGCCTGATCACATCTTCGAGATGTCTCAAAGCGCTTCACAGAATATATGTAAAGTGTATTTTGGGGTGAAACGTGGCAGCCAATTGCACACAGCAGTGTCCAACAAACAGTTGGGAATTGAACTAATTTATTTATTGTTTAAAAAGGGATTATTATCCTCGGAAAAGTGATCTGTCAATCAACTAAACAGAGGTAAAGGTAAACAGTGGCGTGTTTTTCTAAGATCTTCACTGGGGAAAGACTTGGCCTTGCAGCTTCCAAAGCCCCTCAAATGTCCTTTTTCCAGTGATATCCTACTGAAAGAGCTTGAGGTAAGACCAGTAGCTGCTACAAATGTGCACACCACAGCATAAATAAAAGCACACAAAAGCATAGTTTACA